CGCGGGGCCTGGGCCGACAGCGCGGCGCCTTGCCCTCGAGCGCGTCTCGTAGGTGCCACGCAGGGCCTCGGCGGCCACGCCGCCAGCTCGCGGTGAACAGGGACTGCGGGAGGTCCGACAGCACCATCTGCGCCGAGCCGCACACATTCAGGAAGTGGTCCTCTACGCCCTCGAGCAGACCCCATCCGCCCCCGCTGCACCTCGAGCGCGACCTGCATCCTCGCCGCGGCAGTCGAGGCGAGCAGCGACAGCGGCGCCGCGAGGCCCAGGCCGCTGCCTATGGAGAAGAGGCAGTCCTTCCTGAAGGCCTTCGGCGGCGCCCGCAGCAGCACGCGCATCAGGTCCAGCTCGCGGCCCAGCACCTCGTCGGGCAACAGGGGGGGCATGCCAACATAGAGGAGACACAGCACCGCCAAGCCATTACATGCCTGGGTCAGCGCGTCGCTGGAGTGCGCTGACGCGCCCAAGGCGCGCGCCCTCGCGGCGAACTTGGCAGCAGGCCCATGCCGCTGCCTGCTGGGGTCCGCTCCAGGGCCCAGCGAGCAGCCCAGATACTTGGCCATGGGAGGTGATCGCAAAGCCCGACCAGCCGCCCACCGCGGCCTCCAATGAGCCCTTGACGAAGATGGCGAGGGCCCCCGGGATCGGCGCCCAGAGCGGCACCAAGTGACACTTGGCCAAGTTGAGCTCCAGGCGCGCGAAGGCTGCCATCGCCCCGAAGACCGACCCGATCGGCGACAGCGAGGCAAGATCGCGGATCACGATCCCCACGACATCAGCACAGCCCTTGACGCCACCCTTGCGCAACACAATAGGGCGCCCGAGCTTCCAGGACTCACCGCGCCACGGCATGTCCAGCACAGAGGCCAGATGCCCCAGGAAGGGAGAAAAGAGCAGGGCCCACAGAGAGCCTGACATTGGACACCCCTGAGCAACCGCCGCCGCAACCGCGATTGTCGCACATGGCCGTGACCAGGGTCACGGCGGCCTCGCGCACGCCACGCTTGCCAGATGCCATCATCATCCAGCGCCTGGTGGCACTGGGAAAGGCGGCCTTCACATCGAGCAGCGCAGGATGACCTCCTTCCGCCTCGCCTACGCCACGGAATGCACCAGCCATCAAGTCAAGGCGGATGATGTTCGGGACGAAAGACCTGCCTCGGACGAAGCCACGCTGCACGGCCGCCGCCCCCGTTGCGCCACTGCCGCCAGCTCATGGTCGAGCGCCGCCGCGATCAGCTTCCTGCCCGCGTGGAGCAGCATGGGCGGCCGCAGCGCTCCAGGGCGACGAATGGCCTCTGAGGCGCAGAAGGCCTCGCCGCTCAACGGAATCAACACCAGCAGCCCGCGCTCGAAGCCGCCGGGGAAGCCCGGCCCCGCGAGCGCCCCCTGACAGAGCCGACAGAGGCAGGCGACCGCCGCAGGCGTCCTCGCCCACGCGACATACGGCAACCTGTCAGGCCCAGAAGAGGAGTCTCGACTATGCCTCGCCCCACGCATGAGATCCTCTTCACTGGAGGTGAAGTCCCCGCGGCGGCTGGCAGGAGCGAACCATCGCTCGAGATGCGCTGTGGCCGCGCCATTGTCGATGTCCTTCTCTCTGAAGACAGGGCCCCAGCACTCGCGCGCTGCATTCAGCATGGCATCGGCATCTTTCACCGCGCACGGAGAGGCATGCACTGGCGCCTCAGGAGCGCCCAAGGGAGGGACCGGAGGGCTGGGATGCCCGTCACTGCAGACCCTCCTCTCCTCCGCGCACACCTTGGCCCTGCTGAGCTGCCAGACAGGATGCTTGCGGAGCCACAGCTGGGCCCCCTTCAGGATGCCCCCCTGCTTCCGCTTCCAGTAGTCGCCCTCCTGCTTCTAAGCCACCGCAAGCGCGCGTCGGGCGCGCCGAGCTGCTTCTTGCCGCCGTTCATCCAACATGCGCCCCGCGGAGGTCCGCGCAGCCTCCCCGAAGACATGGGGCGTCGACAGCCCCCACCCTGCCGCCCTGCATGCGAGCGCGGCGGCGTGCCCGGGGAGATGCATTCAGCAGCACGCGCGCCGTCGCGGCATCGTTCAACCATGCAACTCTAGCCGCCGAACGCATGATCATCGCGTTGAGCTCCGCACCTCTGGTAGCGACTGCAGGTCAGGAAGCGCAAGCATGTGTTCCTCGTGGCCCGCGCCGCCGAGACCATTGCCCGCTTCGCTGCAGCCCACTCCTCATGAGCGCCACCATCATCGCCACGCGCTTGGAGAAGCTCCCGCTCAGCAGCGTGGATCTCCTGGAGGAGTCACGGGCACAGCGGAGCCGAGAAGACAAACGCGGGAATCTTCCGCTCAGCCACCGGTCTCGCCCGACGAAGCCCCAACACAAAGCCTATCTCGCCATGGTCGCTCAGCCTGCGCAGTGAGAGAGTGGCATGATCGGTGTCGACCGTTCGCACTGCTCTCATGCTCACGCACAGCTCCTGATGCGCACACCTGCGAGCCAGCCGCATAGCGCTGCGCCAGGCCCCAGCAACTGGCACTTTGCAATTCGCCGAGAGATCGAAATTATGAACATTGATGAGCGTGGTGCCCACGCGGCAATCATCGCTGGCCGCAGGCAAGTGAACAGCCGCTCCAGGACGTCGAACCACCACGCTGATCCTCACCAGTTGTACTCGCCCAAGGACCACTCGGTGCACGTCGGGATAGGGTGCCACGAAGGGTGCACCATCGCCCATTCCTGCGGGTCAGACGAGGGCACGAGAATTGCAACTCCACCTCCACACCCCGTTCTCAGTCAGGGCTGAGAAGTGGACTGCGTAACGGTACGGCTGCGAGCGGACGAAGGACTCAAGTGTGACAGCTGCGCCATGCGTCTCCTGCACCATGATAATGCACTGCTTCGCCATTCGCCATGCACGACCTCAGGGTGGTAAGCTTTCGTCGTCGGCGTATCAGATCTCGCAGCAGCAGGCCGCGAGCGTTCCAAGGGATGACCTTCAGGGGGCTGTCCGAGACTTCCGTGCGCTGGTAATGCAAAGGGCGCCATCGCGCAGAGCACACGTTAGGGACACCACTCCACCTCGCGCGGGTTGGACCAGCGGAGCTGCGTCGGGGTGTCCTCCTCGGTGACCAGGACACTGGCGACAAGCTCGTGATCGAATCTAACCTCCGCGCGCATCTTGTTCGGCCACCATATCTCAGGAGAGCCCACCACCTCGGCCGGCGCATGAGCCAGGCGCTTCGTGTGGAACTCCACCCGCTGCGTGCGCTTCGACTTGTCAGCATTGATGAACATTTTGCGACCGCCCGCCGTGAAGCTGCGCCAGCCTCCAGGGACACGCAGCTGGCCGACGAGACGCTTCGCCCTCCCATAGCCCACCACACCGCCCGTGAGCTCCGGCACGTAGTTGCGCCCAGAGAGCAACGAGTGCAACGCATATTGCCGAGCAGCCACCGACGCCGCCGCGAGCCACTCCTCGAGGCCACTGATGACCTCCGCTCCTGTGACTCCTGACCCCACCTGGATCTGGAACAAGTTTGGGGCCGCAGGTTTATCCCACATCTCCTGTTGCGCAGCCTGGAAGAGCGGCACCTGCGCCTCTGCCCGCTCGAGCGCCACCGCGATGCCCTCGACCTTGGCCCGCACCTCTGCACTCGAGGCCTCCAGCTGGTCCTGCCGCTCCCGCATGCGCGCCACATCCACATCAACGACCGCAAACCTCGCCATGCACTCCTGGGCATGTGTAGTGCTGACCCCCGCCATCTGCTGGTGCGCCGCCGCAGTTGTCGCGTTGAGGCTGTTGGTGGCGGCCGTGATGATCTGCGAGAGGGCGGTCGCGACGCTCTCTGGGAGCCCAGCCGCCGCCGAGATGGCTGCCACCCCTGGGTCGGTCTGGGTGGCTCCTGGCGGCGCGATGTGGGCAGGGGCAGCAGCTGCATGGCCAGCTGCAGGGGGCGTGGTCGCCACAGGCCCGATGGGCGCCCACGCGGCGGGCTGGCTGGCGGCTGCACCCGAAGCGCCGCCACGCCCTCCGCTGCGCCCGCCGCCCTGGTTCCAGGGGTCCCTCTCCTGGAGACGACCGCGGGCTCCCCGCGCCAGACCTCCAGCGGAGCCCGCGGCAGCACGTCGGTCACGTTCACGCTGTCGACGCCGCCAGCGGGCCCCCTCACCACTGCGAGAGGCGGCCCGCTCTCCGTCTCAGGCTGCGCTCCTGCTCGAACCTGAGTTGCTGCCGACACGTTGTACACGACCACCAGGACTCCCATCCATCGCAGCATCGTCAGCGCGCATGGATATCTGAGCGCTCGGGGCGGCAGGGACAGGAAACGCCTCCGTTTACCCACCGCCCCGAGCGCAGGGTGCGTGTGAAGAAGATCCTGCCAGTAGCGGTATCCGCTCTCTCCCCTGGGGAAGACATCACCTTGAGCCAAAATGGCTACGGCGAGGAGGAGGAGGAGGAGAAGGAGGAGGAGATGGATGAGACGATGAGACTTTCGAAATGGCGACGCATGTGCACACCATGCCAGCGGCAGCGGCATATACCGCCGCTTTGAGCTGTAGAAGAAAACGGAGGACGGAGGGTGATGCTCTCGCTGTCACGATTTCAAGAGGATGTTTGAAAGAAGATGCTCTCTTTTGAGGAGGAGGAGGAGGAGGAGGAGGAGGAGGAGGAGGAGGAGGAGCAGCATCACCAGCAGCAGCAGCAGCACCACCACCACCAGCACCAGCACCAGCACCAGCAGCAGCAGCAGCAGCAGCAGCAGCAGCAGTAGGGCAATGGGCTCCACGGGCGGCAGAAGCAGCAAGGAGCGAAACAAACCCCGGAGCCCCGCCCATGGGCCCCGCACCATGCCTTGCCTGTGCGGCGGCCGCGCAGTGACCGCCGCCATCCGCTGACGCCGCGGGCGGACCGACGCCCCACACACCCAAGACTTGCCGAGTAAAGCGCGACAGGAGCAGGAGAAGGAGGCGCAGGGGGAGCAGGAAGAGCAGGAAAAGCAGGAGGAGCAGGAGGAGGTGCCTCGCTGTCAGCGACGACGTGTAGCTCGCCAGACTCCTCGCCGGGGGCCGCACTGACCGCTCTGACCCCCGTCGTCGTCGCCGTCGTCGCCGACGACAACGACGAAGTCGTCGACGTCGTCGTCGTCGTCGCTGACCGGCACCGCCCCCCTCCGGCGATCCTCCAGCGCGTCGCACGCGTCCGACGCGAAGGCTAAGGTCACCAGCGCGTCGCGCTTCGGCCGAGTGTCGCGCGCCGGCCACGGCAGGTGTGCGCGCACCTCGGTGGCTTGGTGCCGTGGGCGGAAGGCTTCGGGTAGAGAGGGCGGCGTGCCCTCGAATGAGGGGAGGGAACGGGACATGTCCAGATATATGGTAGATTTGCGCGCGCGTGCCGACATAGAGCGAGGGAGGGAGAAAGAGAGAGAGAGAGAGGAAAAACACAAAAAACAAAAAAAACAAAAAAAAAAAAAAAAAAAAAAAAAAAAAAAAAAAAAAAAAAAAAAAAAAAAAAAACTGACGAAGGACCCAACCATGTGCAGTTGTGAATACCGCAATTGTGAATACCATCTTCACTCGCGCTCCCTATGGGGCCACGAACCGTGCGAGGGGCGTGCCGAAATTCGTCACGGGGTACACAATACGAACAAAGACGGTCGGTCTGAGTGCGAGAGGCTAAGAACGGGTGAGCCTGAGCGCGAGTGAGTCTGATTGTGAATGAGTCTGCGTGCGAATCAGTCTACGTGCATACATGTGGACGCTCCTCCCGAGGATCGCGCCCGCTTCCTTCCCTTTCTTCTCTGCATCTTTGCCTGTGCGCGCCGATGTCCATGGCTGCTGGCGCGGCGCCGCGCGGAATCCCCGCGACGCGCGCTGGTCGCCCCGAAGGGGTCCCGGCGACGCGCGCAGGTCGCCCGCTGCGCGCAGCGGGGAGAGCGAGCAGGCTGGCTGATAGCGGGCAAGCCTGTGGCCGCCGGGCAGAGAGACGACGGGGGCGAGCGAGGCTCTGGTCAGAGCGCAGCGCGAAATTCCTGGGACGCGCGCTGGTCGCCCCGAGAGGGCCCCAGCGACGCGCGCAGGTTGCCCGCGGCGCGAAGCCAAACAGTCAGACCGTCGAGAGACGGCGAGGCTCGGGCGGGCCGCTCCTCAGGTCAAGCCTCGCGGATAAACTCGGTGAAGCCCAGCTCCCTGGCGAGGGCCGTCGCCTCCCTTCTGCACCGCCTCGTGCGCGCAGCAAACTGCTCCAGCTGCTTCCGCAAGCCCTCCGGCGGCCCTGCCAGGAAGAACTCGATGCGCGGCGCCCGCATGAGCAGGAGGTCCTCGTGGCGCGTGGCGCGCGAGAGCAGGACGTAGAGCCCCAGCCACCAGTCGCCGTCCTCCTTCTTGCCGTTCCCCACCTCGTGGCGGCCGCAGCCCAGGATCACGCCTGGGCGACGTCGGCCGAGGGAGCAGCGCGCCGGAAAGCCGAAGGCCCAGGGCGAGAGTCCACGAGACCGAGAGAAGGTCTGGCTGCGGACCGCTCGGCCCGAAAGGTTCGGCCGTAGACTGCCCGGCGGCGCCGTTCCCCCGCCCCGTCGCCTTCCCGCATGGTGCGCCCCTGGCACGCCACCGTGGTGATGACCCTGCCGTGCGAAAACGGGAAGCCCGTCCGGGTGACCTTGGAGGTGCGGAAGGTGAACGGCTCCGACGTACGGGGCTCGATGAACACCAGCGGGCCCGTGAGGTCCCCCGCGAGGCTGTCGTCGTGGCGCCTCAGGTCGTCCACGAAGGGCGCGCTCGCGTACTTCTCCATGCGCACCCAGAACCCCAGCGGCAAGTGCTTCAGATAGACCCTCTTCTCCCCGTCTCTCTCGGCATTGTCGACTGCGTCCCGATCTCGAGGGTCCACGACGATGAGCACGATGTGGCCCTCGGCTTCCTTGACGAGGCCGCTCTTGAGGTCGAGCGCCTCCAAGAGCCGGATCCGCATGCCGACATGCACCGAGAGCAGTCCGTGCATGCCACCGGTGTTCTTCGGGTTGGCACAGTTCATCATCTTGGCGGCGTCCTTATCGTCGGGGCAGACCTGTCCTCCTCCTCCTCCTCCTCCTCCTCCTCCTCCTCCTCCTCCTCCTCCTCCTCCCTCCTCCTCCTCCTCCTCCTCCTCCTCCTCCTCCTCCTCCTCCTCCTCCTCCTCCTCCTCCTCCTCCTCCTCCTCCTCCTCCCCCTCCTCCTCGCAACGCTTTCCTAGGTGATGCTGGGTGGGGGACAGGCAAACCTGTGTCCTAGGTGGAGCCCCCCATGGGGCCACGAAACGCTGTCCTGGGTGGGGGAGACGCATGCGAACACCCCCACTGGAGCCTTCGGTGGAGCTCCCTATGGTGCCACGAAGCGCTGTCCTGGGTGGGGGAGACGCATGCGAACACCCCTATTGGGACCTTCGGTGGAGCTCCCCATGGGGCCACGAAGCGCTGTCCTGGGTGGGGGAGACGCATGCGAACACCCCCAGTGGGACCTTCGGTGGAGCTCCCCATGGGGCCACGAAACGTTGTCCTGGGTGGGGGAGACGCATGCGAACACCCCTACTGGGACCTTAGGTGGAGCTCCCTATGGGGCCACGAAACGCTGTCCTGGGTGGGGGAGACGCATGCGAACACCCCCACTTGGGCCTTCGGTGGAGCTCCCTATGGGGCCACGAAACGCTGTCCTGGGTGGGGGAGACGCATGCGAACACCCTTATTGGGACCTTCGGTGGAGCTCCCGATGGGGCCACGAAACGCTGTCCTGGGTGGGGGAGACGCATGCGAACACCCCTACTGGGACCTTCGGTGGAGCTCCCTATGGGGCCACGAAACGCTGTCCTGCGTGGGGGAGACGCATGCGAACACCCCTATTGGGACCTTCGGTGGAGCTCCCTACGGGGCCACGAAACAGTGTCCTGGGTGGGGGAGACGCATGCGAACACCCCCACTTGGGCCTTCGGTGGAGCTCCCTATGGGGCCACGAAACGCTGTCCTGGGTGGGGGAGACGCATGCGAACACCCCCAGTGGGACCTTCGGTGGAGCTCCCTATGGGGCCACGAAACGCTGTCCTGGGTGGGGGAGACGCATGCGAACACCCCTACTGGGACCTTCGGTGGAGCTCCCTATGTATGGGGCCACGAAACGCTGTCCTGCGTGGGGGAGACGCATGCGAACACCCCTGTTGGGACCTTCAGTGGAGCTCCCTATGGGGCCACGAAACGCTGTCCTGGGTGGGGGAGACGCATGCGAACGCCCCCAGTGGGACCTTCGGTGGAGCTCCCTATGGGGCCACGAAACGTGTGAGGGGTGTGACGACATGGGCGGTGGGGACGATGATGAAGACGATGATGAGGATGAGGATGTGGATGAGGATGATGCTGCAGATGATCATTCTGACGGAAGAGAGAAGAGGAGGGGGAGGAGGGAGGAGGGGGAGGAGGAAGGAGGAGAGGAACGCGGGGCACCGTCTCTTCAAAACGAGGACCCAACACCACAGGATGGTTGGGGGAAAAAAACAAATTTTAAAAAAAAAAAAAAAAAAAAAAAAAAAAAAAAAAAAAAAAAAAAAAAAAAAAAAAAACGAGAGAGAGATAATGAGAGAGAGAGAGAGAGAGAGAGAGCGAGCGAGCGAGCGAGGAAGGGTGGGGGGAAGCCGGGAAGAGAGAAGGATGTTCCAGAATGTGCGCGCTTGGTCGCTACTGAGTGCTTGTGCTGCATGCTCATCAACGATCATACGTGCGCTGTACGTATACACGTCGGCGGCGACTCGTACGCCATTTCACTACGTGTCACGAGTCACTCATTCCCGAAATCGCCCCCGACCGCTCCCTGGACACCCTGTACGAATACGGACCGTATGCGCTCACGGAGCCGGAGGTGATGTTCTGGAAAGGAGACGGAGCAAAAGGGGGTCGAACATCCTGGCGGCCACGCGCGACTTCGAAAAACAAGCGTGGGCCTTGGGAAGTGCCTCCCCGGGCACAAACGCAGAGGGTAAAGCCTGAAATAAGTTCAAAGGGCCCAGGGACACACACACACACACACACACACACATAAGTTCACACAAATCCCACGATTCCCCATATGTCCCCAACTCTTCTGGGCGTTCGTCCCCCCTCTACTTCCCATATGTTCTTGCATTCCCTTGGAATCGAGGATTCCTTGTGTCTGTGTGTTTCCCTCCTGGAAAGTACCGCGGGCAGCGCAGTCGCGGAGAAAAACAACAAAGGGGGCAGGGAGGACAGAAGGACTGATCACCAAGCTCGCCATGATGCGCGCCTGCCTTATATTCAGAAAGGAGGCTACAGCAAGCTCGCCCTGGGGCGCGCCTGCATTATAGATCAGAACGGAGGATCGAGCACCAAGCTCGCCCTGATTCGCGCCTGCTTTACACTTGTAACTCCTACTGCGCCAACAGTTGGCCAGGAACAGGTCTTCCTCAATTCCTCAAGCGCTGACGAGTAATGCCCCGCGCCCCCTGCATGTGGCTCAGGATGTCGAAGTGGATGGCTCAACTTCTAAGAGACTTTTCGTAGCCCGTCTTGCATATATCCAGAACTCGTCCGCCCCAGGATGCCACGCTAGGAAACAATGAGAACACGACGCGGGAGCCTACACGTACCAAGACCATAACCACTGACACTTCTTTACGTCGCAACGCGGCAGAGGCGATCCGCTCGCGCGTCAAAGCTGCCCCAGGCAACGGCATGGCGAATTGTCCCGCATTCACAGGGGGGAGACGCGAGCCGGCCGCATAGACAGGAGGTGGGAAAGAAGGCGCCATCACGCGGCGAGGCCGCGGGGGGACGCGCGGAGCGGCCAGGCCGCAGGGCAGCCCCTGGCAGCGAGCGCGGGGCGGCGTCGCGGGCGCACCCAGGGGAGGAGCCGGCAGCCGTAGTGCAGGGCGGAACCCACCAAGTGGGGGGCAACGGGAGCGGCGGGCCGCCAGCGGGGCGGGCCGGGGGCGCCATAGAAGGAGGGGGCAGGAGGCGGCTGCGCAGGCTGGCTGCGGTGGATTGGGCGTGGGGCCCAGAGCGGCGCAGAGTGGCGGTGGCGAGGCGCGACCGCAATGCGACGGGGGGGGGGACGAAGAGGCCAGGCGAAGCAGAGCGCCGGTCGAGCGCCGAGCGCCAAGCTGCCGCCGCGCGGCGCGGGGAGGCCACGCGCGGGGGGGTTATGCTTTCTTGCTCGGCCCTACACAGACACAAGCCAGACACAAAGCAACAACAAGAAGAACATAAGCACCCAACAATCTTGAACCTTGATCCACTGGTGGGAAGAGGAGGGATTGGAGCGAAGCGAGGAGGGATTGGTGAGGAGCGCCGACGAGCGCTAATGGCGGGAGACGAGGAGGCAGCGCGACGGAGTTGGGGGGAGAGGGGCGGAGTGCGAAGGACGGCGAAGAAGTGAGGAGCGGGAGTGAGGAGGAGGA